CAGAAATATGGGGTTGTGGGGCACAAACATGGGGTTGGGGGGCACAGATCTGGGGTTGGGGGCACAAACACGGGGTTGTGGGGCAGTTGCTGTCCATGTCCCGCAGTGCCCGCAGCCAGGGGTCCCATTGCTGTGCTGTGGGGTCACGGATTCCATTCCCAGCCCCCCATTCCCCCCCCAGGCCCGGGAGGAGCTGCGCCCGGTGAAGGAGGACTTTGAAGCCAAAAACAAGCAGCTGCTGGAGGAGATGCCCAAATTCTACAGCAGCCGCATCGATTACTTCAAACCCAGCTTCGAGGCGCTGCTCCGGGCACAGGTGGGACCCACAGCCCCACGGCCCCATATCCCACCACCCCACATCCCGATAGCCCCGCATCCCACGGCCCCAGGCAGTGCCAGATGCCGTTTTGGGGTCTCGCTTTGGGGTCGTGCTGCTCTCGGAGCAAAGCCAGCCTGCATCCCTTCCCACCTCCCCACTGCGATGCGCTGCATCCTTTGGGACCGACCCCAAACCTTTGGGGCCTACTGAGCATCCTTTGGGGTATCGTCTCCCTATAGGGCCGGGCAGCAGCTCCAGCTCTCTCCCAGCCCCGCTGCCGTCCCCACCTGTGCCAACCCGCTGTTAATTGGCGGTGTTAATTAGTGAGTTATTAGAGCCTCCCGCTTCTGCCCACAGGGTGGCACTGTGGAGGGCAGTGCTGTCTGCCCCACTGCCCCACAGAGCACGGAGCTGCTATGGGGCCAGCAGAGCCCCATAGAACACAGAGCTGTTATGGGGCCAGCAGTGCCCACAGAGCACGGAGCTGCTATGGGGCCAGCAGTGCCCACAGAGCACAGTGCTGTTATGGGGCCAGCAGTGCCCCACAGAGCACAGTGCTGTTATGGGGCCAGCAGTGCCCACAGAGCACAGTGCTGTTATAGGGCCAGCAGTGCCCACAGAGCACAGTGCTGTTATGGGGCCAGCAGTGCCCACAGAGCACAGTGCTGTTATGGGGCCAGCAGTGCCGTTCCCCCGCAGGTTGTGTTCTACTCAGAGATGAGGACCATTTTTGGGGACCTGACGGCGCAGATCGGCCGCCCGGCGCTGAGCGATGAGCAGCGGGAGCGCGAGAATGAGGGCAGGCTGGGGGAGCTGCGGGCGCTCAGCATCGTGGCTGACGACTGAGAGCTCGGGGGGGTCAGCACTGCGCCCCCAGACCCACAGTGCGCCCCCAGACCCACACTGCGCCCCCACTGATGGGGGGTGGATGTGGGGCTGCAGCTTTGCCCTCCTGCAGAGGTTCCTCTTGGGGGGAGGAGAGGTGGGGGGCAAAGCGGGGTTCCCCCACTGTGGGTCGTGAGCCCCCCCCGCCATAAGCAGTGCCCCCATATCTGTCCCTATGTGCCCCCCCTCCCGCTATGGACAGTGGCCCTATATCTGCCCCCCAAAGTGCCTCCCCCCGTGCTCAGTGCCTCTACATCTGT